AATTTTTGGCAAATACTACAGAAATGGATGGATTTGATGGAAGTTGTGGTGAATGTAAGCCGTGTTCTGGAATAGAATCCAATGGAAGCGTCTGTTTAATGACACACAAAGTGTCGGTTAGAGTTTCCGCCGATTCTGTAGTCTTAGTGACGATACAAGTCATGTGATAGCGAAGGAACCACGAAATATATGCCGCCATTTGGTGGTCCTCGACATATGCCAAGTGCGCGATCCGTCCGATCACTCCATTTCTTTGTGGGGCTTTCGCGGCGACGGCTCCACGAATGGGTCGATTCATATGTCGTGTTTTCAATTCAATCAATGATCTCTTATAACCGTTTAAAATGGTTTCGATAACAAAATCTTCTTTCAAATCTTTGAGGTCTTCGCCCAACTCTTGGAGTTTAACTAGAATTTGATGACATTTCTGTTGGTAAAGTCGGAATTCATTCAATTCTTGTATTCCATTACACATTAAGAAATCGATGCAAAGGTCTTTCGGGCGATTACTTCTCTCGATTATCAATTCAATCAACAACTCTTCCGTCCAATTAATAGATGCCATAAATATCTCGAGTTTTGTTTCCCTGTTTGCCATTTGCTGTAAATATAAGTAACATTTGTCGTTAAGTCTTTTCATAAATATAAAACTGCATTCATTTCTTACACTTTCTTCTATTTCTCCGATAATTATGATGTTTTTAATGATGAGTTTTTTGTCGTCGATATCCAATTTATAATTATCTTTTATATTAAAACCCCTAAAAATATAATTAAAATTAATAAATACAATAAAAAGTAAATACAAATATCTGTACTGAAGGCTTATTTTCGGGACGTGAGTCCAGGGGTCGGGTGCGACCAAATTGTTGTCCCTGTCGTACAAATACAGCGATATTTCCAACGGTTTGCCGATCGTTGCCCTCAAACACTGGTCAATGACTTCGAAACGTTTCGGTAAACCATTAATATCCATGTCATGCAAGCAATTGTTCATATCCTCCATCCGTCTCTCTTCATCTCTCAATGACAGCAATCTCTTCGCAATCCACGGATAGTTATCGTCTTTAAACAATATATACGTGAATGAAGTGAATGTGTGGTCAATGGTCTCCATCTTCTTCAACAGCATATCGACAAACGTTTCGTTTTGTAGGCGAAGAATGCGATCCCTGACCGACACGTCCGACACATCGCCCAACGCTTCACCTCTTCTTAGTATGAATTGTCTCTCCCTTTCGGTGAAGACTTCGGTTACGACCAAATGATCCAATATATAGTCCACCACTAAGTCATTGACGATCGCGATTTGGTGACACTTCACGGCGTTTATGGCATGTCTTTGATTCAACATCTTTTCGCCTCCTCTTAACCACTCAATACAAGTGGTGACAGACTTTTCAATTGATTGACAATTTATGTCAAAATATATCTCATTTAACAATAAATAATTTGTTTAAAGTAATCAAACGATTGATTTGTATATATAAATAAGACTCAAATTAATTAATTAAAAGATGAGATCAATTGAAATGACATTCAAAGTGGTGTCTCATTAGTGAAACTCAATTGACTTGTTTTTTGATGGTTTGGTTCAAATCCAATACTGAATGAGAAATTTTGAGCAAATATTTTGTGACTCAATAATCAATTGATTAAAAACTATATAAAATAAATATAAAAAACTTTTTGGCGATTAAAATAAACTGAAAGACATTTAGGGTTTGAAATAAATAATGAGTTTTCAAATCATCAAAACATTGTATGAGTTGTCAGACAAACAGTGGTTTTACGCAAATGTGGCGATCAATGAATGGATGCATTTGTTTGCGAAGACAAACAATGAGTTAATTATGGCTTTGGATTCAATGATTGGTTCAGATATTGATGACTACTTTGTCAATACATGTAATCAATTGTAGCACACATTCAATGTTTGATTTGCTAATCATTGCTCGCATTGTTTGCAATTAATCACTTCAATCACAAACACAACACAAATACCATTGAGTTATCAATAAATACATTACATTAGCACTCATTTCATCGCTAATTACACGCCATTAAGCCTTAAATCCGAGATTTGTTTAAAGGATTAGACGATTGAATGGCTTAAAAGCGGCACTAAATGAATGACAACTCGTTTTGCAAACGAAATGATTAGAAGAAAATCACAACAAAAAAGTTGTTATACTTTTCGTATTGACAGTCATTTCAGTCATATTGAAGCCCTGTTTGTGAGTCATTCAGTAAATATGTTCACAAATTGTGTTACACTTTGTATTGGAGTTTATGTGTTGTATTGATAGCGCTTTACGTGCAGCTCATGTATAGAGGGATGTGTTGGCTATTTATTTGCTATGATATTCACTACTCGTATATACCGTATGACTGAATCTGATTATTACCGCACAAAACGGTAAGCGTTTGCCTTCCTATTGAAACGCAAACAAAGTTATCAATTATTGCTGTATTTGTTTGACATTTATTTCCTTTGTGTGTTTTATTGATTATAATTTAGTGTTAATTTGTTTCAAATATTGTTACTTTTTAAGCAAAAAATATGTTAATATCTGATGATTGCATAAAAAGTTTCCAATTATTAGAGAAAAAACTTTTTTCTCTTTTAGAAAACTTTAGTTATGAATAATGTTTGCATAATTTTCGATACGTTTTGTTCAGTCATTTACTAATTTTGTGTGCAATTATGAAATAGCCTTCAGTTTCTTTCTATCCATATATAAAAACATATAAATAATTTATTTTAATAATAAAAACGATATTAAATTCATGAATAATTGAGCGTTTAATCAATGGTTGGGTCA